TCTTCCTAATGTTCAGATGGAATCTCTTTTCCTGTAGCTTGAATCCATTGCTCTGTGTCCTAGTCCCTGGAGCAGCAGAAAACAAGCTTGCTCCCTTCTAAATAAGGTTGCAAGGGTCTCCCTCCCCCAGTTTAGCCCTGAAAAAAAAATCACCACAGCCTAAATCCTATTACTGTTTAGTCCTGACCACAGCAGAGCCATGGAATCAATTGGATTGACCTACATGTGGATTCACCATTGTGAGGGTAAAGTGGAGAGAAGCAGGTCTATGAGCAACCAGAGAAAAAGCAGGATAGACATATATGAGCATCTCAGCCAGTTAAGTCAACTTTAAGAAGACCTTCCTGAGAGAAAGAGCTCATTGTGTGATGGCATCTCCCTCTTTGGAGGTTTTTAAACAGAGGCTGGATGGCCAGCTTTTAGGAATGCTTTGATTGTGTATTCCTGCATGGCAGGGGTAGACTGGATAGCCTTTGAGGTCCCTTCCAACTCTAGGCTCCTTAACAATTAAAAACCTTCTAACATTTCACAAGGGAAACTAGGATATGTATGGCCAAGGGACATCAGACAGCAGTTGAGATGGCAATTGTTATTAGTGAAAACAAGCTAGGAAAGGGTACATCAGTTTTGTTTTGCCTGAGCCTACTGAGAAGGACAAGATACTTCCTTTCCCCCCTCATTTATGGCACTCCATGTGCCCCCCAGAGATCCAGGGACAGAAAAGTAACTCCCAGACCACCACAGTTGTCCCCCACTATGTTAAAGACTATCAAATGTTATTATAGTTTTTTGCGGGTTTTTTGGGCTGTGTGGCCATGTTCTAGAAGGGTTTCTTTCTGATGTTTCGCCAGCATCTGTGGCTGGCAGCTTCAGAGAATACTGGAATGGAAGAGAATGGGTGTATATATACTGTGAGACCCTGGGTAGGGAGGAGTGGTTCCCAGGTGAACTGTGTGTTGTTCTGTGTTGAATAGGTATTGTTCTGTTGTTAATGGCATGGCTCCAGGGTGGGAGGGAATGCACTCAAGGTTATTGTCTGCTAATCCCATGTAAACTGTGTATTGTTCTGTGTCATAACATTTCATTGACTGCAGCTGCTTTAAATCATATAAACAGAGTGTTGTCTCAGTGAGCAAATCATGAGCCCTCCAATATTTTACAGATAAAAAGTGGGACACAGATAAAAGTGGCCAAGCAACCTCAGAGTGTGGTCAAGATGGCAAAAGTTATGAATGAGGGAGGACAGACAGGCCAAGAGAGGATGCAGCAGTTTGCTTCTGCCCGAGTCTCCTGGGAAGAGTGTGATTCTGCCCAGTGTCTCACCTTCTGATGGTGCAAACAAAGGATGGAGCTACTTTGCACTTTGCCCCTCCTCTTCTCTCTCCTCTCCCTGAATTAAGTGCAAACCTTTGCACTCTGAACTCAGTTTGCAGCAACAGAAGTGAGCTAAGGACAAAGGGGGAAAGTGGGAGAAGGAGAGAATGGAGACATTTTAAATGGAGCTGGGAATGTGGGATGACAGAGGATTAATGAGGATTGTCAGTGCCAAATTGGGACAGCTGGAGAGTATGGAAAAGCAGCACACAAGCAGCTAATGATTCAGAAGAGGCTAAGCAGATGATCTAAATCTTATGGTTAGTTCATCCAGAGCAGGACCATTGAATCTATTGGACTGACCTACATGTTCACTCACAGTTGATTCAGAGGAGCTACTCTCGTTGGGAAAGCCAGCATGATGTAGTGGTTTGAGCACTGGACTGCGACTCTGAAGTCCAGGGTTCAAATCCTAGCTTGGCCATTTAGATCCACCGGATGACCTTGGGCAAGTCACATTATCTCATCCTCAGAGTATGGTAAAGGCAAATGCCCTCTGAAGAAACATGCCAAGAAAACCCCATGGTAGGTTTGCCTTAGGGTTGCCATAAATTGAAAACAACTTGAAAGCACACAACAATAGCAACTCTGCTTGGGATTAACAAGATTCCTGCCAAGCTTTTCAAAACCAGAAGTGGGTACTTCCAGGTACTCATGCATGCATGCATGCACACATAAAGCAAGCATCCAGGAACAGAAAAATGATCCCCAGACCCATCACAGTTCCCATCCACCCACCCCACAATATTAAAGACTAACAAATACTATTATGCCATAACTTTTCATGGATTGCAGCTCCCTTAGATCCCATGGTATGGAATCTGTCAGAAGTTTATTATACACATGATTCATTGGGTTGTTGCTGTTGTTGTTGTGTGCCTTCAAGTTGTTTCTGACTTATAAAGACCCTAAGCTGAGCCTATCACAGGGTTCTCTTGGCAAGACTCATTCAGAGGAGATTTGCCATTGCCTTTCCCTGAAGCTGAGAGAGTATGGACATTATCACACAGG